TGATAGGTTTAATCCCTTCTGGGCTTATTGTGTGACCGAGAAATTCTAAAGTTTGAACACCGAAAACACACTTACTTTGATGTATGTTTATTCCATGTTCATCCAGTCTTTTCAACACTGCTTGTACATGGTGTTCATGTGATTGCAAATCGGGGCTGGCAAGTAACAAGTCATCTATATACCCCTGCGCAAATGGCATATCTCGAAGTAGGTTATCTATGAATCTTTGAAATGTCTGTGCCGCATTTCTCAGGCCGAATGGCATGCGTACAAACTCGAATAAGCCAAAAGGTGTAGTAATAGCTGTCTTGGGAATATCTTCATCAGCCACTGGGATATTGTGATATGCCCTGACTAAATCAATTTTAGTGAATATGTTCATACCCTGTAAACCGTTGGTGAAATCTTGGATATGAGGTATTGGGTACCTATCTGGTACGGTTTGACGGTTTAGGGCTCTGTAATCCCCACACGGTCGCCAGTCACCTTCATTCTTCTTTGGGACCATATGCAAAGGGGATGCCCATTGACTATCAGAGGGACGGATAATACCCAATTGTAGCATATAATCAAACTCGGCCCTAGCGATTTTGAGCTTATCTGGTGCTAGTCTCCTGGGTTTTGCAAACACCGGTGCACCTTTGGTTTTGATAGTGTGACTCACTTTTAGTTTGTCTTTAGAAGGCTGTGGGTTTGGTTTAGTTAAGTTTGGAAATTCCGCGAGTATATCTTGGAATTTCGCTGTTGTTACTGGGGGAGTTTGAATCAAGTTAAGAGAGCTGATGTGACTTTCTTTGCCTTTTGTGTAATACGAAGTTTCTTTTAGTGTTAATCGCCGTTTCTTGGTGTCAACTAGAAATTCGTATCTCTCTAGAAAGTCCATCCCCAGTATTGCCAGATCTAAGTCGGCTACTGTGAAAACCCAAGGGAATTGCCTCCTGAACCCCAAATCTAGGGTTAAAGTTTTCTGCCCAAATGTCGCGATTTTAGTTTTATTTGCAGCTTGAAGTGTAATTGGGGACGTTTCTCGACTAATCTCAGTTTTATTTTGAGGGATGATGCTAAGAGCAGCGCCAGTATCCACCAAGAAATTCAAGCCCGAGTTTCTGTCTCTAACATAAAACAAGCGACTGTTTAGGCACCCCTCCTCAGTCGTCGCGACCTGGGGAGGGGTTACTCGTTTCCCGCTGTCTTCGAATTATGCGTAAGCCAGGTGCATGGTTGCATGCACTTGGTTGAGTTGACACCAAACTTCCAGTGGTACCAACAAAACTGCCCAGATTGTCTGGACATTTGTCACTTGCATCGTGGTCGTTGTGGTCACCTGCTCCTGTTTCTATCACCCATTTACATTCTGACGACAGCCTCAGTGACACTCTTAACACTCGCAATGAGTCGTTCTGTTACGGAGTCTTTTGCTGATTCTACTTTTTGTGTGTGATTTATTGTGCCTGATCCAGTTGGAGGACCTCTTTCCATTATTCTGTCGGCTATACGCGCTAAATGAGATAATGAGGTTTCAGGATCCTGTGCATCCAAACAGTGTTGGACGTAGCATGGGAGAGCTTGTATCCATCCTTGTTTTAGGACTGCTTCACCCACTGTGTTATCACCCACTAAGACTTGGAGGTGACGTAAAAACTGTGACGGCGACCGATCACCTAGTGTTACTCCTTGGAAATGTCTTGGGTTTCTTTGACTGTCTGATAATGATAAACTGTTGATTATCTCTCGCCTTAAGATCGCGTATGGTTGTGGTAATGGTGGGCTTAAAATCAAGTCACGGACTTCTCTGGCGACTGAAGGAGGAAGGATAGAACACAAGTCTCTATAGCGAATCCCTTCAGATTTGATATTGTGTCTCGTGAAATAATGCTCTAGTTGAGCAAACCACAACTCAGGATCACTACGATCAAATTCTGGAAGTCGGGATTTCGTAGTCATAACAGTGTCTATCTCCACTGGTGACAAATCCTCCAGATTATGGGTTTCTATTGAGTCTGACATGAGGTATGTGACAAATATAACAATAAAGTTAGCACAAAAAGTGGTTACTATAACACGAATAACTTAAGATAATACGGAATAAACTAGTTATATACTCAAATTAGTTTACGGATAATCAGGTCTACTTTTACGATTAAGTAAAAAAAATGTTAATAACAGAAATGAGGTTAAATTTGTGTTCAAAAAGGGCTCACCAATTTCGTGCCTTAAAGTAACCCTCGTGCTATTGATAGAAAAAACCAGAGAAGTAGTGAATAGGTCTTTATTTCGATCTCAGCGCGGTAACAGTGGAGCGTGGGATTCTCTGTTCAGACAAACAAAGGCTCTCAACATTCAATATAAGATAATAGGGAATATAACGCTTATACAAAACAAGGAAGTGAATGAATACTTGAACAGTACTGTTTTGGCATATGCTTGGTTGTTTGGGGTCAACTCTTAACCAACCAACCTAAGCTGTTACAAACTCTCGTAGAATTGATCCTTATTGTCGCCACTGTTATTATCGGTGACTACAAAACATAGGATAACATTCACTACAATTCATTCATTCTTTGTTTTGAAGAATGGTTTGATGACTCTGTTCCCATTAGATTCCCATCTTATAAGCGTTTTTCCTGACTCCTTGGAAAGCACCGAATCCACTCATCGTGTGTGGAGCATTTTCTTTCTCGGAGCAGGGGTGCACCAGCAGCTCTTTTGAATCCATTCTTTTCCGTTCAGCCGGTGTCTAAATGGCTTCTCTGATTACGAAAACCGCGAAGTTGTATCTACTCACTTCCGTGTAATCTAATCGAATAAATTTTGATTCGTCACTCCTACGTTCAAAAAGAACATTGGCATTTTGGTCGTTACAATTGTTCTTAAATTCACTGGACAGAGTTTGAATGATCGAATTTATTTACTGTGGTTAACGCTAGCTTAGCAAAATTGTTGTCTATGGGATGGGGATGCCGACACCATACCCAACGCTCCATCTTTGCACGTGTTTTAGTCGTGCAATAACCGCAGAAGAGCTACAGGCGGAATTTTATTGGGGCCATACCTATATTATTTCTGTGCGAATTGTGTTTTGCTATGCACAACATATTAACTTTTATAGACTGTTAGTATCCTTCAATTTAATTACGTCAGTGAATCATTCCTCGATATATGTTGTACGCAATAGCCAGAATTTTCAATTTTGTTGTGATGACCCTAAATGTTTTATCGTACTCAGTCCTGTAATTTGAGAAACCATAATTTCTCAGACTCAAGTGAACGTTGCATTCAAGGGTGCGGAGATTCATGTGTTGAAGCAATAATAACTTTCTTTGTATAGTGAGAAGTTAGGACTCCTTGTCACCCGGTGACTTCATCGTGATCCCACAGAATGTCGTCTGGAAGTATTTCGGTATCACAAAATGTCGATAATGGCGAAAGTGATTTGTTAGTGCTGGTTTTATTTCGCGCTTAAATTTCCACACGTTGCACATGGTTTTATTTCCAGAGTTATCAATTATCTGCAAATCCGATAAAAAGTCGTACTTCTTCCATTTACAACTATTGAACTAGTATTCTGCATTGAATGAGATATTCCTAGAGTCCTCGTGAGCTGCAATGTCTCAACGTCAGCAGACACATAAGGAACCATTTGAATACTATCCTTCTCACTGATTCGCACTAATAACCTCCTGGCCGGAATGAGCTCACTGACCCTCGATTCCGAAAGGTAAAGTTTCATAAGAAGCGAAAATGACTCACTTAGGTCTTAAAAAAACATCAAATCAATGAGGAAACGTGCAGTAGACAATGTATTACAACATCTGCCAGAATTTCGTCAACTCAATTGAAAATAAACAATCTACGTTATCTTTGAAAATCCATTCCTAAATATTTCCTCAGAGCGTCTTTTAGGACTAGAATTCGCAGAGGCCTGGTAAACTGGTTTAAACTAGATTGGTGATGCAGCCAAATTAGATATACCTCTTCACTTTATGCGAAAACAACTTGGCACAGTCACATCAAAATTTGTTCTTATAATATACAAAACGTAATAACAGTCTCATCTCGATCTCCCAAACGTTGATGAACCCAGTCTGTACAAAAGAGATATCAGTCTCTTATATTCAGTACCAATATGAGTGATTAAGTGAATGTTAGGATCAATAAATCAAACCTACGGAGACAGATGTCGATATTTGGTGTCATTTTCGCCAAGCTACAAGAGAATAAAATATTATTTAATAATAACGCACACATGTCATAAACTTCAAGTCATCAACGTTTTAATAGAACATCAACACAACAACGCTTAAGCTAAAACCCAAAAAAGTTTACATCAAAGGGCGAAAATCGAGGTATTCTCACACTTATTTCTCATTTGCAGTCCCTCCCATTCAGAATGCTCTCCCAGTTGAGATTATTACAGCTTCCCCAGTGGATTGCCTTAAGAAGCGACTTGATAAACACATACTGATTCATCGTTTACCTTGAACCGCTTGGAATGGCTGTGCTCGATACATGTCTTGTAACTTTCACAGTACAATAGTTAAAACAAGTCAGTAACTCATTCCTATTTATCTAATTTTTACACTATCTTGAATTTTCTCTCACAATTCGGCTTGCTCACACGGCCTGGATCACAATTAAATAACTAGTTTACTTAGTCAATCACAGTAATAACCGTCAGCTCCTAGTATTTTATTTCACGGTGACACTAACTCACTTTGCTCCCGATAATTTAATGATTGCTGGTTCCAGAAACCACAATGATTTGATAAAAACTTATTCACTCAAATTTCAAAATAAACAAACCCACGAATAACTACAAAAATGTGTAGAATTAATGCAGTTGAGTGGTTAAACTACCTTCCACTGCACTTTGGTAAAGACGTGAAACGTCCTTATTTAACAAGAAATGACTTCAAATAAGTCAATCAGTCGATAGCAGACAGCCTTTCAAGTTATTTTATAGTGGATGTGTTTTAATTTACAATCTTCTAATAAGCACCATATAAACAGAATGATGAAAATTCAAATTGCATGTCGAAATCCACAAGTCGAAACAAGGTAGAAAAGGGAAAGAATATCAATTCATCTTTCATCGTTCAAGACGTGATCCCTGGAAAAGCTTCAGAATCAGAATGGTTAGCATGAAATTATTCGTTATCTGTTCAGGAATGAGTTGATTGAAGATGATTTAGCAGAAAAGACATGCCATGATATCGCCAAAGATATAGTTGATGAAACACTCAGTGCTATATTCCAGATATATTTAAGGACCAATTAATACCATTTGCAGTCAATCAAGCATCTCTGTGCCTCATGCAATACATTGACGTAAATAACGCCATACAATTTTGTATATTAAAATGCGTAGTTGGAGTTCATGTCCTGCGATCAAGGAGAGCCTTATATTAATCTTAATCCAGAGTGGTTCGAAGATGAACGTATGTACTGGTTTTTATAACCGAACTATGTTTGTTAGTTGCTGAATCAAGTAGGATAGATTCATGGGCTCAAGGAGCGATTTCCAAGACTTCTTATGCAAAGATTTCAGACAATCTACAACCCCAAAATAATCATCAGGTTTTACAAAGGCTTCAAAATAGTCTTATCCACAAGTGGGTGCTTCCGTGTTTCATTTGACGAACGTATTTTTTGTCATGAACATAATGCTACTTTAGTAGTTTTGAATACGCATAGTATGATAGTTGAACTCGTGAGTCATTTAAAGCTAGACCACCATGGTAAACCTGGATGCACTGCACGGCCGTTTCGTCCTGACACGGGACTCCCCAGCAGTGCGCATTCACGGTCATGCCCGTGAGATTTTAACTCAAAACCTATCACTATCGTACGCGAACACTTAACCTCTAGACCACTGAGCTGGATCCATGGTACGGTTGTTGATCGGATAGCGAGGCAAAACAAAATGACGTGCAATGAAGTAGGCGAGTATGCCAACTCGATTTTACCAGTATTTATAGTCAGATAAAAACAACACAGAGACATGTGATGAATAAGCTAAGAAATGCACACACGCATGGTCATAATATGACTTAAGAAAGATTAATAAAGTAGCTTTTCTAGAGCTATATAGGCTTAACATAGCAACCGACATTATGTAGATCCTTGTAGAAAACAGCACATTTTTTAATTAAACGTTCGATTTCAAAATAACACTGAAATGATGTATGGTTAACGTTATCAATACTCAGCGGAAAAGTACTATATCCGATAAAGTATAGTGTCCCGTGAGGGGTGAGTATATTATATGAAAGTGTTATGCTTATATAAAAAGGGACGTGCGTATCGTAAAGATGCGAATAAAATGAAAGTCTTAGCATGTGATTATGAGTCAGTTAGTAGGTGTACAAAACGTAACATGCATTTATGCCTTCTGAAATACGACAAGTACTCTCGAGTTTTTCACATAAAATAGCCTTGGATCAAAACCTTCTTGCTACATCGCAATTTTTCTATCATGTTGAAGTTGTTGTGTAGGTTTTGCCTGGAGTTGTTAGAAGAGCTTAGCTGATTCAGGCGTTCACTTAGAAGACTAATCAGATCGTCCTTAAAGACGAAAATACTAATATTCTTGTCGAGTTGAGGATGACGCTAATGATGTTACCCACGACAGTAATGCAGTTTTACAGTTAAACTATGCAGTTGTGGAAGCGTACGTACGTAGAAAGTTCTACGTTGTCGCTAGCTGACTGACTGATCCTATTATTCATCATGTTTAATTTTTTCTTTAACAAATCAGTTGATTAGGTAGAATGATAAAGTGAGTGAATAATTGAATTATTCATAGACTTTTAGGCCTAAACTGAAAGTTCGAAACGAATAGATTTCAGAAGAGAGTCATGTGAGAATATATATAAACCTGCATAATGTAATCAAAACATTGGCAGATTATTCGGCTAAAGTAGCACGACTTTAAATTATCTATCTCTGGATGAAGAGCAAAGTCAAACAGTAACCAGTGATCCCTTACTTCCATTTGTTGCAAAATATTAGCGATTTCAATAATACTGTTGAGACCCGAAACCAGATAAATACTTTGTTACTACTTAGAACTCCTTAATACTGTTGAATTTGTGATGTCATATGGAAATGATCCCAGGTTCGTTAGATCTTTTAATGTTCAAAAAGAATCATTTGTATAATTTAAACAAACAAACTCAAGGTTAAAAACGTTCCAATTTATATGTATTTTATTTTATTATTTCAGAAATGAAGATGTCAGTGACAATAAAGCTATCCGTAAGGAACATACTGTTGGCATGTCCCATAGTGAAAATCTCCACCAAATATCTATACGACAGAAGAAGCCTCAAAAACTGAAAAACGATTTTAAAAATGGTAAACAAATTCCTTAAACATCTAATAATATTCATGCAACAAAACAGTCGCTGAAAATCAGAGATCACTGGTGTTATGAGTAAATACTTCATCCTATCTGTTGCATCACTTCGCTGGAGCTTTCAAAATTCATTTTACACTTAGTATTTATTGAACGGTTAACACACCACTGAATCCCTAGTTATTCAGGTTACTTAAATTTGAAAATATTCATTGGAAAACAAGGTGGATGATAAACATATTTTTCACATAGTATCAGAATGAAGCAAATTTACCTGATATCAGGTCACTTGTTATTTAAGTCCATCCTAAACGAAAATGTGTGGGTCAGTATTGCTTGTTTCAATGAAAACTGTACACTAGTACTGAAAGCTGGAAGATGCTGATAATTAAAAGTTCTACTTTCTTACTTGGAATACCCATTATATGTTCTTAAAACAATGACATTCTTTGAAAGTTCGAAATTCACAGTTCCCCTTGTTCATTCTTATGGCAAGATGTGATATACTTTCGTTTATTTGTGTCAGATAGTATTGATAAAGTCTTCAGTTTCAATATACACACATTGTTATTGAGGAAACTTTGTTGTGAAGAGCATTAACGTTTTTCGGATGATTGTTCTTAGCAATTGAGTTGAGAACCGTTGAGAATCAAGACGTATTTTCCGAACTTGAGGATATGAGCACGAATGATCATGCAGAAGATTGCACTCAGTACTATTGCACTTCACAACTACCATGATAGCTTTAGGGCATTCACCTTGAGCTTCTGTTGATTTGTAACATAACACGGTTTTAATTCAATGATTTATATAAGCTCATTCTTAATGTTGTTATTTGCAATAGCGTCATCTACCATCGTAAAATGAGTCACTTGTCAGTATAATTTTTCGGTGCCACTACTGAGATCTCTAGTCGACCAGTTTATGTTGGCACATTTACATCTTGACTAGATAGTCATTATACCTGGCATACAGATAGAGGTGAAATCAAGGATTCACATATCGTCCTTATCAGTGAATGTCATATCAAGGCAATCTACTCGGGCTGCACACATGGCATCTGGGGCATATCGATTCGAGTCCTGGATATCAACAACCGGG